GGGAAGGGAAGGGAAGGGAAGGGAAGGGAAGGGAAGGGAAGGGGCGCTTACTGTATCCCGCCGTCGCTGAGTTCCCCCCGTAGCCGTAGCTCCCGTAGCCGCCGCCTGCAGGACAGCGAAACGCTCAGTTTGGGAGGACGGGGCCGCGGGTGGCCGGGATTTGGGATGGAGGGGGGCTCACCTGCGTTCATGTAGCCGCCATGGTTGCCCCCGTAGCCGCCCCGGCCTCTGCCCCGGCCGCGCATGTTGCCGCCCCGGCCCCGGCCGCGCATGTTGGGCGGTGGGGGAACGTCGTTGTGCATGGGACCCCCCATCCCAAAACCCGGGTTGTGCTGCTGCAAAGAGAAGCGAGGGTTGGTCGGGGGTCCTTGAGGGTGATGGAACCGGGGAATGGGTGGGCTGGGCTGGGGGGGCCTCAAAGGACGCAGAGCCGTGGAACGGTTGGGATGGGTTGAGTCCTTGGAGGTCACGGGGCCGTGGAAGGGGGTGGGGTGGGGAGTCCTTCAAGGTCCCATAAATAGGGAATGGGCTGCGTTCAGTCGGGAGGGTCCTTAAAGGTCACAGAGCTGTGGATCAGTTGGGTTGGAAGGGTCCTTGAAGGTCACAGAACAACGGAAGGGGTCGGGTTGGGTCAGAACTGTTCTTCAAGGCCCCAGAAATAGGGAAGGGGTCGGGTTGGGTTCAGCTGGGAGGGTCCTGGAAGGTCACAGAGCCACGGAAAGATTGGGTTGAGTTGGGAGGATCCTTCAGGGCTGCAGAGCCCTGGGTCGGGCTGGATTGGAAGGGTCCTTAAAGGACGTGGGAACACAGGAGCATAGAAGAGGTTGGGCCGGAAGGGTCCTTCAAGGTCACAGCACTGCAGAGCAGCAGGACGGTGCCGCAGGGCTCAGCCGCACCCCCAGCACTGCTTACCTTCACGGCAAACTTGGGCCCCCCCCTGGCCGGCAGCGGGGTTCTCTTCTTCTTGTTCTGCTCGATGGCCACGGGGGCGTCGGGGAAGAGCTTCTCCAGCGCTGCCAGCGCGGCGTAGGCCTTGGCCACCTTCTTGTTGGAGCCGGCTCCTTGGAACTTCTGCCCGTCCACCTCCACCTGGGGAGCAAACGGGGGGCATTGGAAACCAAGAAGGGACCCCACCAAACCCACGGCCACAGCAGCGCCTGCGGGACAGGAGGAGCTCTGAGCTGCGGAGCCGGGGTGCAGCCACTGGGGTGCAGATATTTGGGTTGGAGAGGATCCCCCCGGATCTGTGGGGCTGCGGGATGTGGGTCAGAGCACTTCTCCAAGCCAAAGCCGCGGGGATTTGGGCTGGAAGAGCTCTGCCCAGAGCCGTGGGGCTGCGGGGATTTGGCTTGGGGACTCCTGCCATGGGGCAGCCGCTGTGGGGCGAGCCGTGGGGCGGACGGGGCCTCACCTCCATGACGAAGCGCTTGTCGTGGCTGCCGCCCGTCTCGGAGATGAGCTCGTATTTCAGCCCGCGCCGCTTCTCGTTCAGCTCCATCACCGGGTTCTTGCCGTGCTTGGTCAGGATTGGTCCCTGCTGCTTCACGTTCTGCCGCACGCCAACGCCGCGTCACAGCTGCAGCCCAACCGCCCGCCTCCCACCGACCCCAAACCGCCCCTCCGCACCCCGCAGCCCTCCAGACCCCAACGCCACCCCACGGAACCCAACGCCGCACCATCAGAGCCCCACCGCCCCTCCGGCCCCCAGCAGCGCCCAGCCAAACCCAAGCGCCACCCCACCGGACCCCAACATCGCCCTTCCGGACCCCCACCTCTGAGCTCTGATCCGCAGGAGGAGAAGCGGCGCTGGGTGTAGAAACCGCTTCCACGACGGGCGGTGGAGGAGGAACCACCACCGGCTTCTGCTCCGTCTCCTCCGCCGACTCATCGCCTTTGCCAGATTCTTTGCCCTCCGCCCCGGTGGGCAGCCCCATATCCTGCAGCACCTGGAGGAGGGGGGAACCCCGCTGTCAGGGAGCCGCCAGCCCCTCTCCCCAGGAAAGCATCGCCCCGTGGGCTCAAAGGGACCTCGGAGCTCCCCCCCCCCACAGCAATTCTCCATCTGCCCCCAGATGGGAGCCCGGCTCTGGGCCCGGCGCCCGGCTGCGGCCTCGCTGGGAGCAGCAGCCCCTCCTGCCCGGCTGCGGTGCTCCGGGTGGCGCAGCCCAGGGCCCCATCGCCCCCCCGGCCCCCAGGGCACCCCGCTGCCTCGTGCTCGGTCACCGGGCGACCGGTGGGAACCGCTGGCCATAGGCGCAGCCTGCGGCCAACATTTGCCCAGCTGCTGGTCAACCGCTGGCACCGGACGCCTCCAGGCCCTCCTGGCTCTCATGGCGCGCTGCTGCCTCACGGTCAGCCGCAGGGCAGCCGCCGGCCTGGCTGAGCGACCAGCGCACGCCGCTGCCTCGTGTTGGCCGCTCCATCACCCGCTGGTCGATGCTGGCC